ATTTTTATATTGGAACACATTGTGGTGTCGTCTTAATTATTATATTACACCAAGAGCCATTACGTGGAATATTGCAATGTCGGAGGTTGAGGGAAATGTTTGACGAGACTTTTCAAAAAAGTAGATCTCAAGGTGGATTTGCCTTGGCCCTTATTACTAAAGTGATATTTTTGCTCGTTTTGCATTTAAACCAAGGTATGAATACCGATAATTTTGGTTGATTTATAATTTTTTGATACCCATTTTTTTCTCGAACGCTAATTTACATCAAGTGACCTTAGTGCCAACAGAGCTACAATCAATTATGTAATGTAATTAATATTTGAGGGGATCCGACAAAAAGTGGGAGCAAAGTCGTACACGGGCTAATCAAATTCAGGAATCAGTGATTGTTTTAATATCGCAAGAAGAGAGGCTTCAAGGATCACGCAAAAACATAAATTATTTTTTGTTTCCATTGCAGACTTTTGAGCGAAAGAATTGCGTTTGCAATGTGGAAATACTTACGTTTATATATATATAGATCCTACAGTTTTGACGGAACAATAAGTTTACAAAGGCTAATCCTTGTCTTCATGAAATTCAAAACAAAACGTATAAAAATATTTATAAAGCGTATTTACAATGAAGAAAAAAAAACCAATGCATCATCCGATTACTTGTACTGATCTTAATTTCTTACGACACGCTGCCGGAATGAATAATACGATTGTGCCTTTTTGCACGTATATTCCGAATAAGCACAAAAATCTGGCGGCTGTAGCAGACTCGGTGATTTCGTAATACAATAAAAAGTACAATAACGGTTTCTTCGTATGTAACAGCTTGAAAGCAGTATATACAAGGCATTTATATATATACAAGTGAATCGAGAAATATTCCCTCTCTCTCTCTCTCTCTCATGCTCTGTGTGACCTCGACAATATATACCCCGTACGTGTAAGCACGTCACAAATTTTTAAGCGAAAATCCACTGTTAGATAAAGATAGAGAGAGAGAGAGAGAGAGAACAAGTTGCATGCACCGTCACCCTTGCAGACTTACACATTTATACCCATACCATTGAAAATCTCCATGCTACATACCATCGGCAAGTGATAAAAAAATTCAAGGAAAAGCAATGCTTTTTTTTTATACACGCGCTGCTTCATGGGAGTACCGTTTATTTGTACCCGTGCAAATAGTGTAACCGCAGATAAAATGTTTATTTTTTAATTTTTTTATTTTCTTATGCAATAAAAATTTATGAGTGTAATAGTATTATTTTGTATTGGATGTAGAACCAACTCTATGCATCTTAAATTTGGTATCAAACGACTTTAAGTTTGGTAAATGTGCTTCGGGGAAAAAAAATTATTTTAACCCTTTGACTGCAGGAGTTCGAAAAAAAAACTTTCTAATTATAATGAAAAAGAACAATGACGAAGTATTTAGCGAAAAAATCGGTTTCTCACACCCAACGAAGAAAAAACGTGTACAAATCGGTAAATGCAGTATCGCACACGGCGTGCGAAAATCGTTTTGAATTTTTGGAAATTTGATATCGTGTCATCTCACTTTGTACCTTCTTGTGATAATTGTGCTTGTAAAAAAACTATATACATCGCATATAATTGTAAACGCGAGAACGTCCGGTTTTTTTTTGCACATCTGTACCTTTGGATGAGAAAAAAAAAATTCAAAAAATCAACTCCAACGAACTTACAATTAATATACGGCATAATTGCAATGACCTACAAAGTTGCGATTATCGAAAGCTTCCACAAGGAAAGTAGCTTTTCGCCACTGGTGCCGAAAGCTTGGGTACAAAAACTCTCTATTTAAACGTTGCAAAAATTGAATATCTGCACAACAGAACCCAATAGTTGTACATGCGCAAGCACAAAATATCATATTCTCTACGTCGGCGCACATGTGTCATGTATGTACTTACATGTGTAAAAAACTTATTTAGCAAACCGGTAAGTGATCCTCTCTCCCGTTTGCCGATCGCCAATAAAAGGGATGAAAACAAAACAAAAACAAAAAAGGGAGAAAAAAAAAGATCGGCAAAAAATCATATATATATATATGTATATAGCCCCGTGATTGGGATTTGGGATCAACGACACTGACGCCGTGCGCTACATGTATATACTTGTACGTGCACCGAGAAGAGCTCCTGCTGGGGCCAAGATTGCGCATAGGTATATGCATGGCTACGTATTTATAAGATATACCTGTTGTGNTACGAAATGAGTGACGGAATAGTTAAAGTTTTTAACTCATTTCAAGATTATCTTAACAAAGAACAAGAGACACGTGAGGTGTGTACATTTAATGATAATTTTTTTTTATAGTTAATTCTTTCTTGCTGATAAGTGGGTTTAGGTTATGAGTCGTCAATAACCACATTATTCTTTTTATCATACAGCTGCGATTGTGTCTAGATTGAAGTATTTATGTACTCTCAAATATATATATATGGTTATAGGTATAAGTACAGCCAAAGGTGTATGAACGAACGAATGAACGAACGTGGGTTGTTGCGATCGCTCCCCGCGCGGAATTCCAGCGGCCGTGCGAGTTTCACCTCTCCCTCTTTCTCGCTAGCTCGCTCTCTCTCTCTCTTGGCAAGGATTACAGCCAGCGAGGACCCACCACTGCCGATCCTCTTCTCGCGCTTGCATGCATTCTATTTATAAATCCCTCGCGCGCGGTGCCCTATCCCACATAGGTATATTATGTATATATGTATGTATAATTATTATTATTACAGCCGTTGCAAAAGCTGCCGATCTACGTGTATATATATACGCTTGCATCCTTCGTCCTCCATGCACAGGTAGGTACCATCAGATGCATTACCTACGCACCTATACCGATTTTTATATTTCACTATATATACCAATCGCCCCGCCCCTCTCTCTTGATGATAATACCGATTTTTTTATGTTCTAGCAGTTGATATGATATACATATATATAGACGTGTGCACGAGTTACTTGTAGTATATACATGCACAGGTAGACTTATTGTACGTCAGCTATCGGTTGGATGATGGTGTTTTTTTCCCCCCCCCCCCCATGTCGCTGTCCTGCAGCGGATCCTGTCAAGCTTCCTCATGAGAGCACTCGCGTATCGGTCGCGCCGACGCGCGCCCTTATTGAGCCGACAACGTGTCCGCGTCCCTCTCTCTCTCTTGGTCATGATTTTTAAGTAAGTATATTCTTTTTTTTTCCCTTTTTTCAGCCGAGGCCAAAGCCCGGTTTCGCTTAATGCTCCTCTCTCCTTTTGATTCGCTCGTTCCACATATATATGTATACATCCCTCCACCAGTATCTGTTATTTTATGCCGCGGCAATCAGGCGAGCCGAACGCGATTCTCCATAATATATACGTACACGCATGCCTCTGTTGATGATGCCACTTGGAGAGGCCGCGCGACAAGATACAAGACCGGCGCGACAGAAAAAAAAAAAATATATATACCCCATCCTCTATTAGCGTTGGATTTCCGTCGCCCGGCAAGTGTTGTCCGCGATACACTTACCGCGTAAGTATTATACCCACGTGCGTCTACCTCCATCGATCTTCTTTTTTTTTTTTTTTTTTTTTTTTCTCTTGGTTCGCTAGTTTCAACTTCCTCTCTCGCGCCTGATGGAAAATTGCACGCGTGTACCCCCTCTGTATGTGTACATATACGTGCTGGCTTATAAGGGGAAGGGGTTGAGTTACGAGCTGGAAATGCTCGTTCTATTATCGCGAGTCAACATCTTATCGCCTTTTATTTTTTCTCTCTTGGCTTACTTTGCGAGAGAGAGAGAGAGAGAGAGATTGAAGATTGCTTTTCCGAAATGCGAATGAGGAGGCCTTGAAGTATGTACGTGCTGGTTTTTTTTTTTTTTTACAAAAACGCTTTCGGGGGTATCGACGTCTCGGTCAAAGAAAGCTCCAACTCAAAATATTTTGTCGGGATCGAATGGAATAATTATATGTATATATTAACTGTTACACGGCGGTGGAATGTTTGCTGATTATTCGGAAAAAAAGAAAAGAACATGGATAAATAGTTTTAAAACTTTTGTAAAATATGCGGCTCGCGCGTGTGTAAACCAAAAATTTTTTTTGTTAATAACAGTATATCATACAAAGTACTTGTTTTCCTACGATTTTGATTCAATGCAAAAATTTGAAATTTTAATGACCACAAATAAATATAAGTATAGTTGGAAGATAAACATGTTTCGCCCAACGAAGGTACGGAAATGTCCGAATAATGTTTTGCCATTCTTTTGTTCGCGTTTTGACATATTATCGATGTACAATCGGTAAAATATTAATTTACACGTTTCGTGGTGATCTGATTAATCGTAATCCTAATTGTTGGTTGTAAAGATGTACTTGTGGACCACAAGTTGTGGTAGTGGTTTCATCGCTGTGACCCTTTTTTTCGTTGAAATTACATGAAAATATCAAAAGTATAGTTGTAAGAGGAACCGTAATTTTCTGACTATTTTAATTATCATTTCCTCTTCCACACGAGTTTCATACGTGCAATAGAATATAATTTACGTGCTATTATGGTATCTTATTTGCACTTTTAATTAAAAAATATTACATTACGATTAGAATAATGGTAAGAATAATTTTGACGAGTATTTTATTATTATTATTATTATTTTTTTTTTTATAACTTTCAATGATACTCATTAACACTTAAATCGAATTTTGTTCGTAGGACTTCTCGTTTATCAACTAAAATTATATCTACTTTCATAATTTTCAAGTTACCCGCTATATTCTTTGAATAAAGAGTGTTGGTAATGTATCGACAGTTGATAACAATGAAAGTTGATGTGACTGACGTGTGTAACGCACTCACTCGAGTCGGTCGCAGTCTGCTACACAAAATTATACGACGTGCACCGCGTCGTGGATAAAAAAATTGCCGGTGATAAGTTATATACCTATACTCAAGTATTTTGTTAAAATATATAATTACGAAATAATCTTACGAAATGAGTGACGGAATAGTTAAAGTTTTTAACTCATTTCAAGATTATCTTAACAAAGAACAAGAGACACGTGAGGTGTGTACATTTAATGATAATTTTTTTTTATAGTTAATTCTTTCTTGCTGATAAGTGGGTTTAGGTTATGAGTCGTCAATAACCACATTATTCTTTTTATCATACAGCTGCGATTGTGTCTAGATTGAAGTATTTATGTACTCTCAAGAAATACTTAATTGTTTCTTAATACAATGCATTACTTTATAGATGGAAAGTTGTATCTTTTTTTCGTACAACAGCTATTGTGTCAGTTTTAAGAATGTTTGTTATATGCCAATGTGTTAAAGTCGTGAAATTTTTAATACCAGGAAAAACTTGACTTTTAACTAAAAATTGTTCAAAATAACTGATTGGTACGAAAATTTTATTGCAGGACATTCGTACCATAGTTCGAGACATTGAAAAAGTTAGCAGAAACATTGTTATGGTTATGCAAAACATACACAATGAGATTCCAGAAGAAAACAAAAGTATGTAGTTCATGTGTTGTTAAATTTTATCGGTTTCTAAGAATTTGTATAAAAATGTTAAATTATTCACCATTGAAAATTTTTCCATACAGTTGTTGCGGAATACTGTGCCGAAGCTAGAAATCTGTTTGGAGAAATACGTGTCTATTATGAAAAGTTGGCATTTATTGTACCAAAAAATGAATACTATCGTTTCCATGACCACTGGAGAATGGTTACACAGAAACTGTGTTTTCTTGCCTCTCTTATCTTATATTTAGAAGTCGGAACTCTTGCAACTATAGAAACTGTAGCTGAAATCTTGGGAGGTATGTTACATATCGAAAATAATTTTGTTTAATTTTTATTTACAAGTTTGTTCAAAATATTCAAATATGATATCTCAGTAAAGTCCAAGAGAGAAGAAGGATTTTATTTGGATTTGGAAGACTTTTTAATGGGTTTGCTGCAGATGTCTTCTGAACTGGTAAGTAATTGATGAAATATTACAAGATCGTTATATTACGAGGAATTATTGTGTTGTAGAGTCGTTTTGCTGTAAACAGTGTTACCAATGGTAATTACGATCGTCCCATGCAAATTGCCCATTTCGTTAACGAATTAAATGCAGGTTTTCGACTGTTAAATTTGAAAAATGATGGTTTGAGGAAACGCTTTGACGCCTTGAAATATGATGTAAAGAAAATTGAAGAAGTCGTTTATGATCTCAGTATTCGAGGTCTCAAACCAGGTTCTTGTGCATCGCAAGAATCGCTAGCGGCAAAAAATGCTGTTCAAGAAGCAAAGTAACTTTTTTTCAGTATTTTACTAATTTTTAAATATTTTTCTACAACTATTTATAAACAAGACTGGCGACAAAGTCGGCCCTTTATTTTTCTATCAAATAGAAAACTAATATAAATACATATAAAATGTGCACTTGCACAAACTAATGTTTTTAACGTTTATTGTAGAGACTTGTACATGCAACGCATTTTTTAATTTAGAATGATGTGAAATAAAGAAAAAAAAAAACGGATGTTATTCGAACAAAATTCCCGGAAACATTTGGCATTTATTAATTCTTTTATTTTCACAGTAACAATCATTTTTACCGGTTCTCCGTTCCAGATAGCGTTCACATCACGGCGTTCTCAATAATATGGGTTGAATTTAAATAAATTAATAATACCTTGCAATAGGCAACAAAATCACAATATTTGAAATGTTGGCGCTTGAACAATGTGACCGATTCACATTCACCTAAATAAAAAGTAAGAAACGAAACGAGCTCGAGAGGTAAGTGTCGACGTCTGACCACGCTACTTTGGTACTCTGTGAAAAACACAAAACCGGTGGATTGTCATGCTTGAGAGGGAAAAATTTCCGAAAATGCCGAAATTTGCGCACAAGATTGAGCCGACGGAGGTGAGGTGAGTTAAATCATAAGCATTAGGTGACCCATAAAGTCTTGATCTAAATACTATCAAAGGGACGTCGGCAACAACGGACTCTGCTCAACGGTAAACAACAGTCGTGTGCTTCATGGCCCCTCTATAGCCTCTAGCTGATGGGGAAAATTTGGCGCCGAGCAGCAAGAAATATAAGCATAATAGAGAAAGACGGAGAGCAAGAGAGAGAGAGGGGTCGGGTGGCGGGGGGGGATCCCGGCGCACGGGCGTCTGGGATAAGCCAGTAGCGTGCGAGAGTGCACGAGCGGCGCTTTGGCCCGCTGGAGTGCATCGCGAAACGAAACGACGAAGACAGAGAGAAACGAACTCTCTTTCTTACTCCCTCTCTGCGTATCGGTGTGCAGCGTCTGTGCGCGAGTGTGTGAAGCCATTCGCGAGTGCACGACATCGCCACCCGAACTAGTGGCGCTGCTAGCGGGCTGGACGATCCTGTTCAACGTGCCTCGAGAAAGACAGAGCGAAGGGAAGAAGCGTGAGCGCGACGAAGACGGAAAACTAAAAAGCGCACGTATAGATATAGTAGAGATGGGACACGGCCGAGCGAGCAAATGGCTGCCGTGGCGGCCATGATGGCGAAGCGTAGGGCCAACTCATCGTCGATACCAGCAGTTTGTGATTTCGCGGGCCTGCAGCCCAGCTTACGGCACACGATGCCTGGCTGAGGTCCAGCCAGCCAGCCAGAGACCTGTCTGTCGAGCTCGTAGTGCATATCGACAACCAGGAAGCTTCGAAGAGACATTAGCTATATACACACACACATACACGTCACACTAGACGGAATACTTGTGCCCCCTCCCCCCCCTCTCGACCACGAAACTCCGTGCGCTATATATACGACTACTGGGACGAGCAGAATATACCTACCGAGCGAGTCGAGGAGGAGAGGAGGAGCAGGCGCGGGTGAGCAGCGGCTGCAGCTGCGCCCTCCCGCGCGCGCGCCGAGCCCGCCGTTCCCGCAGCTCCGAGGGGAGCCGCGGCAGTGGCCTGCTAGCTGACGACTGTCAGCACAACACGACCGAGAGTGGAGCACAAGGTGCAGCAGCGCCGGCGCCATGAGCAAGCTCTCGTTCAGGGCGCGGGCCCTCGACGCGAGCAAGCCCATGCCCATCTTCATGGCCGAGGAGCTACCGGGCCTGCCGGAGTTCTCGGCCATCAACCGGGCCCTGCCGCAGATGCCGAGCGTCATGCAGAAGGAGGAGGAGTGCGTAAGTGTCGCCCGCGAGCAGCCAAGTGCGCCAACTCCCTCCCCCTGTCTGCGGCCCACATATCTCTTTTTTTTTCTTTTTCCATCGTGCGGTTGACTACTCGTATGACCAGCCCGCCATTTAAGGGCTAGCACTAGCAGCAGCAGCCCCGAGCGCGAGCGTGTTTTTGCCAGCCCGCCATCTTGCCCTCCCCGATCAACACCGATTTCTCGTAAACAATCGCCAGGTGGCTCTGTCGCCGGCTCTTTGCGGCCCACGGGACAGCTCCGGGTTGACCACGGGGCTCTTCTCTTACCTGGTGTTGAGCCCCCGAAGTCCAGAGTGATCCCAAACACTTTGATCACCATGCTCGAGGTGTTTGTTTACGCGGCAGTGTCGTGGCTGGGCGCGTATTCGCACGGGATCGCAGCTGTCAGTGCTCCCGTAGAGCAGACGACTTTTCTCTGACCCATGCTTATCATACAAGAAAACAACTCTTTTTCCCTACAACTTTATACTGTCTTTTATATTGTTTATAACGCGTTAAATGTCAGTGTCAATCAAGCACTTGATCTTTGCTCTGTCAATTAATATGTTTTGCACATTGATGGATCTCACGACTGCCTATATGAATGTAAACAATCCACTGTTTACCACTCAACTGTCTGCTGCAATGGTCCTACGTATATTACGAACTCAGACGAGTACCAATGTTTCTTTTTCACTTTTTCCGCTGAATAACCCTTGAATGTGCCCTATTATTTAAATTGATGATGTTCCTGTTCATTTTTTTAAAACTACAGTCAATAGATAATGTTTCCCTTGACTTTGATAGGAACTCCACCTTCAGGCAGCAATGGAGAAAAAGCTGATTATTCCAACACCCGAAGTCAGCGATATCACGGATACAGAGTTTTACGACAAATTGTACCCTGCAAATTACAAACAACCCAAGCAGTTGATACACATGCAGCGTAAGTTTTGTCTTTTGTTAGAATCAAGTATCCATACTCGCTGCATATAAATTAGGTCTGTACGATTAAAGTAACAAACGTAATGCTTGGTATTTGATTTTCAGCGTTTGCAATGGAACAAGATATCCCAGATTACGATATGGATTCAGAGGATGAAAAATGGGTTGAAGCACAAAGTCGAAAACTAAATCTGACGCCGTTACAGTTTGAAGAGATGTTGGATAGGCTAGAAAAGAATTCAGAGCAAACGGTCATTAAGTTACACCAGGCAAAAGAAATTCTAAAAGAAAATGAAGACCTAATCATCGCCGTATATGACTATTGGCTCAATAAGCGACTGAAAACTGTAAGTGCTGATATTAAGTATTTTCCGATGATTTCAAACAATCATTGATTAAATGTTGAATTTTTCAATGTGGATTTAAATTTTGTTGTTTTATATTTACATTTAAAAAGAGTCTCATTAGTTTCCACAAAACAAACTCATTTTTATTTTTTATATTTTCAGCAACATCCTTTGCTATTGGCCGTAAAAACAGAAATTCGGGGTGGTTCTGCTGCTGCCAATAACCCTTATTTAGCATTTAGAAGAAGAACAGAGAAAATGCAAACGCGCAAACATCGTAAAAATGACGAAGCAAGCTACGAAAAGATGCTTAAGCTTCGAAGGGATCTTTTCAGAGCTGTGGAACTATTGGACATGGTCAAAACGCGAGAAAATCTTAAACGTGATCATCTTAATGTTACTATCGAAATTTATGAAAAAAGGTTGGATTTACATCTACTATTATTTTATTATTTGATATTGGCTCTTTTTTATGTTTTATGTTTATTAAATATTTATTTTAATATCATTGTCTTGTTGGGTATACCATGGCTTATTTTACTTTACTATGAAATGTTTTTTAAACACCAGGTATCAAGCGCAAGACTTCAGTGGACAACTGCTCGCCGAAGTTTCGGCACTTAAGGCATCCAGACCTGCGTTTGCTCCTCTGTTCACTAACCAGTTTGGAGTCCACCAAAACTGGGCCAACAAAGTGTGTGGAAAAGTAAGCTTTTACCCAACTAGTCGCTCTGTCTATGCATTGTTAAGATGGAGCAGAGTATTTTTAAAACAACTTTTTTTGGCGATCAGGACGATTCTATACCAAGGAAGGAAAAAAGACAGTATAAAAAACGAAAACATAAATCGGATATCAGGAGCGGTGGATTGGATGACGGTAATATTCGTGGGGGCATCGGAACTGGTGGAAGCCGAGGCAATCGTATGGGCTTCGGAAGCGGGCTGGACCCGCTCGCTAGTTCGGACGAAGAAGGTCCGCTCCCGTCTCATACACAGTCTTCTTCTCTTCCTTCGGATCGCGACGACGAGGACACGGCAGATGAAGGTCAATTCACTTTTCGACGAAACAGATATAATAGTTATTTACCTGTAAGTCGTATATTCCTCTACACTTAATGAACTTGTATGATTTAGGTATTTGCAAATTATTTAATTTATTTATCCATCAAATAAACTTATTTATGCAGCCTGTATCAGGAGGGTTTGGAAATTGGCCTTGGTGTTCTAAAGAAGAAGGAGGTCTTGCAGATAAAAAATATAGGTTTGCTCTCACGAGCATTAGTAAGCCTACACCAAGGTGTATTGGTTACGCTCGGCGGAGGATAGGTCGTGGTGGCAGGTACAAAAATTGTTCATATGATCGGTTGATCGTTTAATCGAGGTTAAAAAAAAAAATAAAAAAAAAACTTTGTTTTAGGGTCATATTGGATCGTTATTCAAACGACATGGACGATGTCTGGTCCTCTTTAGATTTTACGATACACGAATCCAAACGTGATGCATCGGATCCAACGGCAGTTAAACACGATTGGTGCGATTAATTATCATAGATTTATTGCGACTTTTAATTTACAGATTTTACGTTTAAATTAATCTCTTGTATTTATACAGGCTTCACTTTCGACCAAAGACGCCGCCACCTACGGAACACAACCCAAGTGAAGAGAGTAGTTCGAGTGATTCTGAGGAAGAATCGATGCCAAGATCGCAGCCAGAATCACTTCCATATCCTTTCCCGCTAGAGGCAACGTCGATATGCGTCGATTTTGAAACAGATCGCATGGACGATGAGCCACCTTTCACGTCTGAATTCAACATAACGGACTACTTCTCTGTAGATGGAGTGTCGGACTTTGACCTAGCTCTGCCTACTGATATTAGTGTGGAGCCAACAACAGACAATAGTGATTGGCGGACAGAAGAACTAGGATGCTCTCGCGTCCATGTTCTACCCGAGGTCGGAAATGTGTTCGTACCACAAATCCGACCGACGACGCAGTGCAGTGATAGTGCTAATAGTGTAAATACGTCAAGTTGCTCGAATGCCATGTCGTCGAATACGACAAGCAGTAGCAGCAGCAGTAGCAGCCAGTCAACAATGGTGTCAAGCACGTCTGTGTCTACGCAGTGTTTAAGTGTTGAGGTTCAGTCGAGTAATAACCAGGATAAATCTCACAAACAATTGTTAAATAACAGCACTGCTGCCTCCATACTGTCCAAGTCCCTGACTAGTCCGACAAATAACAGGAGTAGTGGCGCTGGGGGGGTCAGAGTCATTGGTACGGCGACAGGAACTGTAACTAGTGCTAGTTGTACTAGTACTAGTGGCGCAAACTGTGGTAATGGCCATCCAAACGGTCCTGTTAATTCCGTGCAAAATGCGAAGAGTTTGCCGAACAGTACTCATATGGTAAACAATCAACCAACGATACTTTTATCGCAGAAGCTCACCCCGTCCAATTTGCTGCCAAGTCTCAAGCTTGCCAATCTTGCCAGACAGCAGCAGCAAACTCAGCAAAATCAGACTCAGCAAATCCCAACGTCCGGGGAAATTACGCTTAATAGTAATAGGTAAAGTTTTTTTTTGTTATACATTAAAAAAAAAAAAATTCTCTTAAACTAGCCGTCTTTTATATCATAATGTAGTTTTGAGGTGGTTTGTGTTATGTACATAATGGTATCTTCATGTAAGATGGACATTGAATGTCCATTGTATACAATTAAATTGCCAGTAGATATGGTTTTCATCAAGAATCCTAATGTAGAATTATCAAATGATTTTTTAAATATCTATATCTTGAAAATCAAACATTTCAAAACAATTATAAGTTTTGATTCTTGCCCCCTTAATAATACTTTTTGTTCTACAAACGTCTTATAAATTTTATACGATTTGTCTTTACTATTGTAAATGATAGATTTTTATTTTAACTCATGATATGAAAAAAGTATTCCAATAATTTTTAATAAAACAAGTATATGGATTACTGAAGAAAATACGCTTTTGCGTATATAACGAAGCTGCTACTATCTGATACTATCACTATAAATAAAAACACAATATCGTGTTCTATGCTAAAAATTTATATTTTTACAAATAAAATGCCTGACTTTTGTACTCGATATAATGCCCTAAAATGTCTCACAAGATTTAGATATTATACAACTATCCTTTTATGATCAGTAAAGATTTTCGTCATTTAGGTTAATTTCTTAATTTAGGAGAAAATCGATTTTTTATTCGCCGTTTCAGCTTCAACTCATTTTTGGTTATTCTTAAGATTAGACTTCTTCTAAAGTAAAGTAAATGGTATCAAATAGTATTTCAATAGAATACGCTGAAAGTAAAAATCAATTTAGTCACAAAAAATAATAAAAATACAAATATTAGTCAATGTGTCCAATTCAATTCGGTAAAATTCCTTGAATCAAAAAATATAAAGTACGCGATTACTTTTAAGAGATATCTTTTATATAAACCAACTGTAAAACACACTCGAAATGTTTTTTAAACACCAGGTATCAAGCGCAAGACTTCAGTGGACAACTGCTCGCCGAAGTTTCGGCACTTAAGGCATCCAGACCTGCGTTTGCTCCTCTGTTCACTAACCAGTTTGGAGTCCACCAAAACTGGGCCAACAAAGTGTGTNAATCATTTTCTTCAAGAGGTTATGTTACTAACCTAATTTTTAACATATTGTTATTGTTAATAACTCTCTAAAATAATAAAAAAATACATCTCTTACATGGGAATTCCATAAAGTGTTGCTCTATTGTTTGGATTTAACTCTCCAGTAAGACAAAATATTAGAGTTGAGTGAACAACTGAACAAAAAAAAGTTGTCGCGGCAATCTTACCTAGTAGAAAACATAATGGCGTGAAACTGAAAATTTTTCAATTTTTTCAACATACCATAAGAATTTAATAACAAAACTGTTGGTTATAATTACAGTGAAAAGTTGGAAATGGAAGTGGATGAAGTTGAGAGTTCGCCCTGCGATGGCAAGCCACAACAACAGCAATTAGTCAGAGCAAGCAAAACAAATTCACTTGCAATGGAAGTGACATGATGCCTGCTGTCGGCACCCCTGTTGCTGTCATGTCACTGGGGGCTTTGTTAATCATTTTTACCATGCCACGATAATCTATATCTACAACAATTTATTGGCAATGGTTACAGTCGAGGTTTCTACAACTCGTTGTGACACTTATAAGTATAAATATCGTGGTGTGGTCAGGGCACGAAAATATTAAATGAAGAAAAAATGAGTAAAAAAAAAAAAAATAATAAGCAGCGTGATGTTAACACCCGTTTCATGACAACTAGATTGAAGTGCGCTCACAACAAGATAAAGCAAAAAATGATGGAACACACATATACACTATACAACTCCCTTTATTCAACTTGAACAGTATTTAAAAAATTTAAGATTTAAAATGTGCAACAGATTCACTTTCCTTTTCTTTTTTTGTATTACATTTTTTGAGTAGCAGCCTTTGTCAGCAGTGTACGTTACGTAGAAGAAACACATTACTTATGTCTCAGTGTGTGTGAATAATGTTTGGTTTTTAAGTACACTGTTTCAACCAAAGAAAATGACGGGATTTATTTTTATTTCCTATTAATAATAATGATAATATGTATTGCTTTGCACATATCTCTTCCACTTCAAAAATATATTGAAATTGTCATCAAAAAAATGTGCAAAGCAGTATAACGCTGTACTTAAAAACAATCTAATTCTTCGCGATTCATTTGTGGTTCACTTACTCAAATATATATTAAAATATAACAAAATATATGATTTATATATTAATTACATACTGGTTAAACTTTGATTTAACCTTGAATCACACACCTGATGACATTTTTTAAATCTTTGGTAAAAAAAGCTTTTTATTTAGAAATGTTTCCTAAAATTTGTTAATAACGTCAAACCCCTAATGTTAATATTTAATGCTACTAACTTAGATATCCTATAGAAATCTAGCAATTATTGCCGTTTTGGAAAATAACGTACACAAGTAGAATCTATTTTACTTCTTTTATCTCAAAACGACTGACAGCGATGTTAATAAAAATCTAAATGTTACTTCAATGCGTAATGAACAGTAGTAGCATACCCTGGTTCAAATTGATAGTCATTTTTCAGTTCTCAAAGTGTTACACTCTAAGTAAAAAATGACTTCAATCTCTGCATTGTTCTTCTATGTAACGTTCCTAAACCTTTACAGCTGATAGAAATCTATTGCCAGTTCTGAGAGCAAAGTGTGCACGTGTGTATGATGAAAGGAAATAATAATTCTTAGGGTTACTGGAAAAGTGTGAGAGAAATAATTGAAAATTAAAATATAGACTCTGCATTCCTAGTTTGATGAAAAAAAAAAAATTCAAAGAAATAAGTCATAGGCTGGTGCGAAGCTCTCTTTTTTTAAATAAATCGCTTTTGCTTTTTTTTTCTTCGTTACTAAAATTTTCTTTGCGTAAACTGTTGACGTATATTTGTTGATCAGTGTGTATGTGAGAGAAAATAAATTATGTGTTAAGGATTCTCTCGTGTTTCAGATCCAATGCGACTTGAATCAGATTTTTTTATGTTATGAACCAATCTTGATTAATTTTAGCAGCACAAATTAAAAACTAAACGATTTTATGCTCACGTGAATTTGTACTTTATGTGGTCCGTTAACGCCCTTCACATTTTTCTTTTTTCTGTTAATCAGACTTTTTTATCTAAATGGTATAACATAACTTCTATATTTTAGGTTAATTTTTACGATTATTCATTTACTGATTACTTGAAACAATCAAATAAATTTTCAAATCATTTAATATTAAATTGCCAGTAGATATGGTTTTCATCAAGAATCCTAATGTAGAATTATCAAATGATTTTTTAAATATCTATATCTTGAAAATCAAACATTTCAAAACAATTATAAGTTTTGATTCTTGCCCCCTTAATAATACTTTTTGTTCTACAAACGTCTTATAAATTTTATACGATTTGTCTTTACTATTGTAAATGATAGATTTTTATTTTAACTCATGATATGAAAAAAGTATTCCAATAATTTTTAATAAAACAAGTATATGGATTACTGAAGAAAATACGCTTTTGCGTATATAACGAAGCTGCTACTATCTGNCTTAAATTGTATATATAAAGATAATTACGCTTACTGTATCTCTTACATTTAGATGATTAATTAAAAACAAATAAATGTAATTAATGTTGTTGTGGTAGGCGCACAGCGATGTATAAGATGAAAATCATCAATATTTCGAATCAATCTTAGAAAGGTGTGATTAAAGGAAAAAAACTACAAAGAAAGAAATTTCATCTTAAATTTAACAAACAAAAATTTATCAATGGATTTAAGAAACTCGTCGAATTTTGAGTTATCTCGTCCGAGAGCGAGATCATTTCCGCTTACATACGATGTACATTATATCGCGCGAAGCAAGTTTTACACATGCGTTTCTTTGATGTACTTTGTAAATACTTTCTTAAGCATCATTAGCAACAGCATCTTTACAGATTCGCTGACCGAGAGACGTGTCGAGTCTACTGTACATTTTTTAAAAAATTCACGAATGAATAATTATTTAAGGGATAATTTAACTTATCAATGCAAGAAATGTGCTAAATAGTTGCATTTCCAGTTAACACTTGGGCACAGTTTTCTTCTTGAGCTTTACTCTGTATATTTTTTTTTAATTCGTGTAGCAAATCTGTAAAGACAAGACCTCTATGAGGAAAAAAGGCTTGTTCGGTTTTTCATTTGAATCAAAGAAGAAGAAAAAAACTAAGAAAATACCTGTTGATTTGGTTAAATGATTCAACAAAAAATAATGGTACACAGAGTTTTATATAAAATTAAACAAAAGATCAAACAAAACAAGGATATTTATTTTTTCAATTCGCCATTTTTCCCTTATTTACATATGTATACATACTTATATTATTATGCAGTGAAACGACGTTGTTCTATCAATGATAAAGAAAGCCAACATCAACGCATCAATGTCGGGATTCCCTCCAACTGCAAAGACTGAGTTCTCTCAAAATTTTGTAAACGGTGGTAAGGATGTAAATTGCAAATGATTATCATTTATCTTAAGTCAAATACTCGCGTATTAAAGTCAAAACGTTACGAAAAGTGCTGTTATATTTATTGACCATTACCAAATACCTACACTTCAGCATTTATTTATTATTTAATCACATTTATAATATTATTTATTCATATACAATTATAAATTTATTGCACCTAATAAATGGATACATTTACTAGAATTTTTCAATTTTTAATTTCATATCGTAAATTTCCAATTTATATTCAACATGATTTTTATTTTCTATTCATGGAGTAGGAAAAGTAAATCAATTAATTGAAAACACTTAATCTTGTCAATTGGAAAATTTGTTTATTATGGTTTCGTTGACTAAAGGAAATGTGGACAATGAAAATATTGTCTTCATAAGTCGTTCTATTTAAATTTAAAAACGAACCGACTTTAGCTAATCAAAAGTCAATTTCAAATTTTTATTTTCAAATAGGCCCCAATAGTATCACTCTCAAGTATTTCCAAGGGTCAGGTTAGTTGATATTTTTGGGCTACGTTTGTTTTTGTGTGTGGAGTGTGGATATGCACGCGTGCACATTTTTTAATTTTGAGAGTTAAGTATATTTCTCATTTATGCAGTGTCCAATTTCCTCCGATGTCCAAATAAGGACCAAGAGTTAAGATAAGTTTACGAGTTATACGATTATAGAGTTTCCCGCATTTCCGATATCCGATTTCCCGCTTTCCGTAACAACTTGAAGTGCTACGGACCGTAGCCTACGGTCTCTACTGCAAATCGCTGAGTCCCGAAAACAGTATTTTAAGATGTAAAAGCAAATAAAAAATGTAGCCATTTTAATTTAACCCATGGTAAGTAATAAGGTACATAAATTGCGTTTCTTCAATGAAACAAAATGTAAAAACGTTCAAAATGCCGTCTCAAACGACATTAGACAAGTACTACAAAGTAATATACAATAAAAAGGTTTCGCAAAAAGAAATCTTAGTTGAAAAAGAAGGTGGAAACGGAAAAGGAAGTTATCACCGTAACCCCGTAAGTATCGAAAATTTTAGCTTATTTGATCCACTTATGATTGAATAGATATTTCAAGCTTTTTACTTTTTTAAGTTTGCTTTGCGAAAATCAAGAATGCGTCCAACAAAAATGCTAAATTTTGTTGAAAGTGAGGTCCAAATCATTAAAGTATGTCGGCCTTCCGCAATAACTGAAAATGAGAGTACCAACAATCAAAAAAGAACAAATTCCTCGGAATTGGGAAGTTTGCACAAAAAGGCTAAAACTACTTTGTCATCAACTGATTTGACATCAACCTCTGATCAAAGCACTCTGTTAGACGTAAACAATCTGACATCAAGTCAAGTTCGTGCAACAACTAGAGAAAGTCCAATTTCGAGCCAAAGTACTATGTCACCCAACAAAAGCCCTCAGTCACAGAACACCAGTCTTCAGACTCCTAGCAAAAGCATGTCAACTAATGACAAAAGTTTTTCATCGCCAAATAAATGTATGCAGTCATTGACCGAAAGTCCAGAAACACCTAGAAAGAATGGATATCAAACCCCATTAAAAGTGACAAGTCCAAACAAACTTAATTCTACTGGAAAGAAATCAAATTTCCTACCCAAAGAAATGACACCTCAAAAAAAGATATCTCCGTCAAAAACAATATCTCCAAGGAAATTATTTTTTGCAGATAGAGTTATTATAGATACTGTGCAGCAAGCTGTTGAAAATCTGAATCTTGTCAGGCAGGGTAGTATTACTTTGAACGAATTCGATTTGGAATCAATATATGAGGAAAAAAACTTTAGTTTCGTGTACAGTGATAATATAGATCCAACATCTCAAAAGTTTGAGCTAAAAGATATTATTTTTCCTCGTGAAAAGCACGCAGATCATTTGTTGATGATAGTGATGGATGTATTTTCTGAACCTATGAATTGCGGTTATTTTTTAAAAGATGAACTTAATAAAATATTTCAACTATTTACATTGTCCCTGGAAGCACAAACGTTGTTTGTAAGACTGTTGAAAAGAAAAATAGGATGGCATAGGACGAGCAACATTAAGTACCTGGAAATTGCTAGCGATTTGACTCCATTTTTCAAGGAGTTGATAGAAAAGGGATTTTGCACATCAGGTATGACACAATCAAGTTTTTCTTACCAATATTTATATGCTCATACTGGATTTATTGTTTAGATTTAAATTCAATGGATGTATCGATTCTACTGAATATGCTACAAGCAGATGAAGTCAAACATATGTGTCAGAAATTGAAAATTGATCATCGTGGTAACAAAGCAGTACTGATTAATAGACTTGAAAAATATGGTAATTCTGCCAAATCTTTTTTCCTTGGAGCAAAAACGCCCAAGTCCATACTAAGGTCTGAAGTCTTGTCAGTTCTGCAACTGTGTGTAACGTTGCCCCAAGAAATTTTCAACTTGTTTGATAGAGTTATGACTCTTTTACATCCTATGCAAGATCCTACAGAAAGTATTGCAGATTTATTTCTGATGTTGACCACTGTTCATAAAGGAGAAATACTATACCCATACGTCCCAAAAAAAGATCCTTATCCTGTATTTCAAAACAGGTCGCATTTAATAGGGTAAGATAAATGACTCTTTACATTCAAGTGAAATAAATTTTTAACAAATAAGACTTTAAAGTCATATTTATTTTTTTAGATATGTTGAAAGCAAAAATGCATACAGACAAGTGCTCACTGCTATTGAAAACAAAGAATGGGACATAGTTAAAAAATTGGGTCGCATAGCTCTTAAAAATTTGAAAGAAGGACAAGAAAAGTAAGAAATTTTTTGAAAATTTTTAGACCTCTTATGCATTTTTAAGTAATAAATCATAATATTTTACAGTTATGTAAAAAATTCTCTCCCTCTGCATGTGCGAAAATTCGTACCTGAATACGAGTGGACGAAAGTTTTGTCCAGAAGCATTGATGCTTTCAAAAAAAATCCAGAGACCATTCCCGAGGCTGTGAACGCTTTGCAAGCTTTAATAGATGATAAACACTTTTGTCAAAGTAGTCGTGGAAAGTGGTATAGTGAATTAGCATTAATAGAGATGCACCATAAAAAAGATTTGGAAACCAGTGCTGCTTTAACTCTGCACGCTTTACAACAAGACACTTTGACAGAAGTTGATGCTTCGGGATTAATAAGTAGACTGGTAAAACTAATGAGACGAAAAACTGGAATATCTGCAGAAACCAAAGTTAAAATTCAAATGACTTTAGATGAAGTGACAAAAAAAGGCTTAACTCCCCTACCCGTGAACACTAAGACTGTCACTGCAATCATGGCAAACAGGTAATGTCTTAAAAACTTACTAGCTCATTTTTGAAAAAAAAAAAAATGAAATTTTTATTATTTATGTTCAGGGCTGAATCAACTGGTCAAACTACATGGTCAATCAAAATAAATGGACATGACAAGTATTATGGCAGGGTAGAGGTAGTAGCCCTTCAACATTACACTAGTGAAGAAGATTTTCACGAAGGACTTCATTGCGAAGGTTCTCTGCCAATTACATTGTTTACAATATTCTTTTGGGAAGAATTATTCAATGTTTCTGTGCCCGGAGTTTTTGTATCTTCCTATCAAGAAGCACCCTTAGATCTTTTTACTGCTGAATTTTTCAATAACAGAAAGGAAAAAATAGAAGAAAAAATTCAGTTTATTAAAGCATTAGATTTAGAAACTTTTGCTGATTGGATGTACACAAAATATTCCAACAACATACAGTACCGAACCATAATGCCAAATACATTATTCAAGTCGGACCAACAGTTTAAGGTATCCATTGTTTGAAATTTGATACCAGTTATTTCAACAATTTTATTTTCTTTAAATTAATTTTCTAACGCAGGAAGTTGTTACGTGCCTTGGTATAAATGCCGTAGTAGGTATTTGTCAAAAACTAGTATCCAACTACAGACTGTGGAGGTCTGGATTTCCAGATCTTATTGTATGGAACAAGCTTATACCAAAGGTAAAACATTGCTGGTCATTATTGATACATTCTTTTTCAACTTGAAAACTTTTGAATAACTTTTTTAATGTTTAATACAGTGTAAGATTATTGAAGTTAAAGGACCTGGGGATTCGCTATCTGAGAAGCAAAAATTGTGGCTTCAGTATTTGGAACAGCTGGGAGTAGAGGTTCAAGTGTGTCTTGTGGAAGGTATTAACATTTAATGCTCAAATATTTCATTTTCTTTATTATTGTTATAACCTTACCCCCTCCCCACCCTCAATCAAAATACTCATCATTCATTTATTTCATTTATGGTGCCAATGCCTCAGGTACCGTGATCGTGCATGGTCCCTCAAAGTGGTACCTAAAAATATTTTTACAAATGTCAAACGGATATTAAAGATTTTTAACATTAATTTTTTTCATTCTGTTACAGCTTTAGGAAGGAGCTCAAAGTAGCGTGTACCTTTGAGTTATAGTTTATACGTTTCTATAATATATATTGTAAGTCAATTATTAACATGTGAATAAAAAAAAAAAAAAAAATTGTTATACGTCTTTAGACGAACAATTGAAGAAAATTATTGGTTGTGAAAAAAAACTTAAACACTTTAAATCTTACTTAAATTTTCTTGTGGCTGGAGTAGACTCCACATTGAATTCTGCTACTGAAACACCCCTTTTGGCGACTTGAGGAGCAAACATTGCTGCAGGATAGACAATGGAAGAAGTGCCTATTATTAAACAAGCATCGCATGTTTCTACTGCTTGACCTTTTCAGATAATATTTTGGTTGAAATATTTATTCAATTGTTATTCGATTGTGATTTAATAAAAGTTTTTGTATTTTGTCTATAAACGCACTTGCTTTGTTGAGAACCTCAGGATCAAGACCCTCTCCAAACCATATGATATCCGGCCTTAAGAGAGCTTGACAATTGCCTTGGTTGCACCTTGGCAAATCTTCAATAGGAATGTCTGATGACACAAAGTTGGGATCTGGAGATCTAGAAACAAGTGTTACCATATGTTAATATATACAAATTATAAAAAATAAGTTCCACCAAATGCAACATACATACATTTTTCCCTCTAAAGCAGGGCATATTGGAATCGTGTCGTTAAAAGTGATCGTTTTACATTTCGTGCATCGCGTTTTGTACAGTGATCCGTGAAGCTCTACTACGTCTTTGGCACCGGCTTTTTGATGTAGGCCATCAATGTTTTGAGTTACAACTGTAACATTTCTACCCTCTTTTGACAATCTACTTTGAAATTCGGCTACTGCTTCATGAGCCTAAAAATGTAAACTTGCTCGATTTCATTCATAAATTTGAAAGCTACTTACACGTGTACTTGAAATGTTTACCTTGTTGGGGTGAACTTTGCTAACCAATGTCCTTCGATATTCGTAAAACTCCCATACCAATGATGGATTAGCCGCGAAAGCTTCCGGCGTCGCTAAGCTCGGAGCTTGATACTTTCGCCAAAAACCACCGGTACCACGAAAAGTCGGCACACCAGATTCCGCAGATATCCCACTACCTGTCAAAATAAGTATATTTTTTGCTGTTGATAGAGTTTCTCTGAAAGACTTTAATGCATTCATTTTGCACTGAGAATTATGTCGTTCGATTTAATATACGAAATATGAATGATTATGCACTACTGTGTGTGCTTGCGCTTGATGACAGGCAAAAAAATACTCTGCATAGTAATAAAGCAGCTGTATGTTTGTAAGGGCGCCTTTTCACGTTCGATCTGTATCAAAATTGTAGAGTTGAGATGCGCGCTCTCTTCACTCTCTGAGTGTATTTTTATTGCTCGCAAAAACAAAATTAAAAAATCCACTCTTGGAGAGTGAAATAATCACTCATTAGCGTATTATTTTAGAATATATCTCCTATCGTTCTCTTGAAAAATTACTTAGTAAATTGAACAGTAATCAGCAACGGTGGTATGTAGTTGTATATATATATCTTTTTGTTTATACATTTTGAATATTTAAATGGTTTTTTCGACGGTAAACCGGAGTCCCACGCGGCCCAGCCAGGATCCACATTGACTCACAAAATAAATATAGGATCAGCGCCATCTAGCGGATTCTAAATATCCAGCTCCAGTGGCTTCCGCACTCCGTACTCATACGATTCTATATTAATAAATAAATCTAATCGTTTTTATGTACACAAAAAAGTAAATATATGTAGTATAAAGTAAAGTGTGTTATGATATAAATTAAATACTTTAATTGTAGGTATTTGTATGTGCCTGCATATAAAGCATTAACCAAGCAACTATTGAATTACTAAAAAGAGTAGAAAACAAAGTTTTAATTTCAAAAAGTGCATGTACATAGTAATTTAAAATACCAGATAAAACTGCCTTGGTTTCACGTATCAGTATTTATTACAAAGATAGCTTGAGTTCATTGTATAATTGTTTATAATTTTGTGGGTTTAAGTGTAAATATTTCCCACACTGTATGTATATATGTACATACTTCCACAACAAAAAACACAACCAACAAATCGGCGATTCGAAATATTTTTACTATCACATTAGTCCAGTCTAGTGATAACGGTGTATCGAAACAATGTCCAAATTAACTGTGTTGGATAAAATAAAAAATCCTGATGTACCAGGTAAATCATTTTTAGCTCTGTAACATCCAAAAATATGTAGTTCTCGTAATTATAGGTTACACACATGCTGTACTTTATTTCAGGACTAGAGGATCCACTGCCCCCGGTACCTCCACCCCCAATTATCTCTTATAATAATCCAGCACCAGTTCCTGAAAAAGCTCCAGCAAGCACCCCCAATGTTGTTAAGCCGACAAACCTTGTGGCTTACCCTATTCCCAAACAGGCTTATTTTCCTTCTATGGTGACTCCTCCCCTGCCTCCTCAGCATGATCAGTCATGGTGGGTACCCAATGAAACAGATTCTGAAGTTTACAATCAGTGGTACGAGTCTGCTTATAAAGCTGCTCTACGAGCTTCATCAGATAAAGATGGCAGTGGGAAGCCCAAAGTTAAATATGTCAAAAGAAAACTGGAAGTTGTTGATCCTCAAGCTGATGCAGGTACAATAAGCGTTGTTTGAAATTTGAGTTAATATTGGGCAAGTTTTTCTTATTCAGGCAGATTATTTCTATTAAACATTTTAGAAAGAGTTGCAAATGCTCAGAAAGAATTGTCAGCCCTGATGAAACCCCTCAAATGTGATCTGTGTAATGCAGTGGTAAGTAGTTATGCAAAATCATTAGCCATACTTGATTTTTTTATTCAACACTAATTTCACTGTGCTGTTTAAAGATGAATAGTACAAGTCAGAGTGCTATACATTATAGCGGCAAACCACATCAGAAAAAAGTTTCCATGTACCTCAATCAAAGTGCTAAAAAAATAAAAATAGACGATGGTCAAGTTTCGAGTACAACTAATGATTCTTACTCACATTGCGAGGTAAGCTGGGTCAATTTTAAAGGCAACTATAGTGATTATTAATATTTAATTGTTCTTTCGTTCAAAGATCTGCAAAATATGGTTTACATCCATGACGGATGCAACTCAGCATTATGCCGGTAAAAAGCACTTAAAAGCAGTATATGGCCACACAAAAACGAAGTAAGTGATAAAAGTACTTTTTTATATATTGCATGTCATGTTTTTGATTAACAATAAAAATATAACAATGCATTTCAGACCTAAAAAACCAACATCAAACAAAAATCCAATCGATCCCACCGGAAGATATGGCATAGGAATGGCTTTTGCACCGCCTCAACCTGAAGCTGTACCTATCCCTCAATTACCACTACCTCCCGAAATTCCCCCTGCAGCTGTTCCACCTATTCCACAGTACAAACCGGCACTTGTAGCTTACCCAATTCCATTTCGTTGTGAAATCTGTGATATTTCTGTAAACCGACAAGATCAACTGGAAACGCACAAACGTGGTGCAAAGCACTTGAAAATGCTAAAACATCACGGCCTTTCTCTGCCACAACCAGGTTAGTGTCTACCACAAACAAGTGACAATAGACTTGCGTATATTTTTAATAATTTTGTTCATGTGCTTCTAGATCCTGTTTTCTTGGTGCCACCGCCCATAGATTATTCAATATATCGTACTCCATCAGGTAAAGTATTTAAATGAATTATGTACCGAAATAAGTATTTATGATGCATAAAATGAGTTTGAACGTTTTTAGGGCAATATTATTGTGCACCATGTAACTTGTCTTTGAACTCAGAGTCATCGTTTGCACAGCACGTGGACAGTAAAAAACACAAAAGTCAAATAACCCCTAAGCAGCAGCCCTCTTCTGGTTCAGCGACGAAAAAAAAACAAAAAGGAATCCAGAGGAAAGTAAATGAGTGAAGATACCCCTAGCTGACCTAATGAGTAATGTTACTAGTGTCACACATATGTGTGTATATTTATGTATATGTGTGAGGGAGTATTGTGAAAAAATTCATTCATACTCACAATAACTATTGAATTAGTTTCCTTTGAATTGCTGTGAAATACCTATTTGTAGTCTGAAAAATTCCGCTGAAACTAGCGTCATTTAGACCAAAAGTAGAATTGCTTCAAGATATTTTCCAAGTCTCTGTTTCATAACACGCAAACATACAATGATAATCAAAATCAGTTAGATTTCAGTAGTTTTCAATTATTTCGTGGTCAGAAACATAATTGCTATACCATGAAAAAATATATGTATTTTAATAGTAAAACTGTTGAACTGAAATCTACCTGATTAACGTTCGAGAACAAGATTCAATGTCCATCTTATGGTACAGTAAGAATCATTTTAACATTAAATGATTTTATTAATCATTAATCAGCTTAGGCTAAACACAAATAAGGATGAACTGATATCATAAGAAGAAAAAGCATGAAATTCCTTTATCATAAGGTATAATATACATGTCAAGATTGTTTGATATATAATGAGTTAACGATTGTTCAATTGGCTATAGAGTCATCTGGGATCTTCCTCTAGTCAGAATAACTTCAGAAAACAGAATAATATTGCTTTTAATTATAACTGCCAAGACCTCACATTTCCCTTCATAAACTTTTTGAGCAAATCTCACAAATAATGTGGTCGATATTGTTTAGTGATTTTTGTAGTGGGGCCATAAATTTTCGAGGCGTATGGTACTACATGTGTACCAATGACACCGTTGATCTTTACTTTTTATCTTGTGTTATTTTTTTTTATATGAAACTCTACGTCGTTAATAGACAAATATTTTTTTGTCAGTAGCGGTCAACTGTATACATGGAAGTTTTTTTATTTTACTTGCACAGTGTACAGTGTGTGCATGTAATAACAGAGCTTCCTCATACTTCATTCTTACTGTAAAATTATGTTCTTGAATAATTAAAGCATTTCATACTGGTACTGAAACTAAAACAAATAATTATATTATTGGTCAAAAATGCAATGACAACTGTGTGGCAACATGAATTTTTTAGAAGAAATTTCTACTTAGATGCTGTTTCATGCGAAGAATTTTGACTAATGAAATCACTGTGTTAAGGTGGTTATTCTGTAAAATCGTTATTATTCACTATAAGTCCGTAGTATATACGTGTACAAACATGAAGGTGGAAGGGTTAATAAAAATATTCGGTTCACATGTTAATGATTTGACATGTAAAAAAAATTTTTAAACTGTATATTGACGTAATTTTTTTATAGTTGTACGTTTTCATTACAATTCTAAATAACCTTCTTTGATCTTAACGCGCAGTAGCTGAGGCATTAACGAGTACTTGTGTAGTTTTATTGCTTTTCACTACTAGTAACAACATCAAAACTTCTATTTGTTTTTCCTTCTTTATTTTTTATTTTATTTATTGATTTATTATTTTTTTTTTTCGCCGATCTCATTGACGAGCACTAAAGGCTGTTGTTAGACGAGGTAACTTAAAAATACCTTTATCTGTCACCAATAGCATAACTTCTTAAAACGTAACTACAAAGAGCTAATGTGATACGATTTGATGTATTTTTCATTTATACTGCGTGTTCATATTATCTTTACTATTTCCTCTTCCTTTGTACTATCCAAAAAAATGAGACGACTAGCAAAAAGTGCCGTTAGAACTTGTAAATAAAATTTTGAAATCTTTAAACCAACTAAAGCGTGCGTGATACTACCTAAAAGAAAAATAATATCGTGTCTTTTCGCGTGTGCTCCATGCATATATACGTTAAGTACGTTCATTAACGCGTATATATATATATATTCTCGACTACTCGCCGCGTTCGTCGTTCTATTCGCGGTTCGCTATAAAAATGCAATGAACGTGATATTCGATACGACATTCAATATTTCACGAGCTTTTAATAATCGATAAACGAAAAAGATTTTATGTAAAGGGATCAAAAAATAAACATCCACTGATATCGAATAAATAATTTTGTGAGTATTTTTACACAATCAATTTTCACCTGAGTTGGCGAAATGATCGGTAAGCGTTCCTTCTTAGTAAGTAGGTGATCCGTACAATTACTATCACGTGCACGTGTTTTAGTTGTTACTCTAACCTATTGTTAGTTAATCAAGACCCAGAATATGTCAGTAAAACATATACTCCAGTTGGTCGGGAAATCACAACTGGAAACGTTGAAACAAGTTAGACATTTGTTGAAATATTTTTTACAGATCCCCCATTTTAGGTACCGGTGACATTCGAACGAAAACTTGGAAACCTCAAGCTGAAGCAGAATTTCCCCTGGTCAATCATATTTTTAGGAAAACAAGTCAATAGTTTGCGACTATGTAATTTTATAGATGCAAAAGCATTTAAAAGCTACCAATTTAACTCACCAACGTATAGACAGTTTGATAACACATGGGGGGAGGGGGGGGCCCTTTTTTTGTGCAGAGACATCTCGGGCCCAATTTTATTTCCACGTGGATCAAAGAGAACACAAAATAAAATCTGAAAAAATATTATAGTGCATATAATACACTTACGGGCTACCGATTTACGGCAAGTTTCGATTAAACAACCCACACGTCTTTCCTCCCCCTCTCTCTCTTTGGTTGTGCCACCGTTTAAAATAAACACCATCATCGCGGAACCACATAATTCCATCACCAACGAATAAACACGTTATATAATTTAACGAGACTTTTCGCGGTCCGGGGCGCATCGCGTATAACGAGAGACAGATCGATCGGCGGCGAGGATGGGACGCCTGACAGGAAAATACACATTATATTATTATACGTATATATAAAACTCGGCGTGTTATATATTTAATACACGAGAGGAGCAGCTCTCGTGGCTATACGGCAGTGCCGATTAAAGCTAAATTGGATAGGACCGCGGGATTAACCGAGCCGTTTTGCGCCCCGCGCGACTTTGTTAATAGCCCCCGTCTCGTGGCGTCGGGCCCGACTAATCGCCGACATTTATTCAATTACGAGGCCATTAGCTTCCCGGCGTCCTCGCTGCCGTGTCGCCTATATATACACTTTCGGTGGGGGGGGGGGGGCATCAAACGAGCGGATCGTTATAAAGAAATCGGGCGAAATGAGAGACGAGAGAGAAAAAACTCCGGCGTTTGACGGGTGCAACGCGCGGAGGGCGCGATATATTTTCGGAAAGCCCAACCGCGCCGAGGAGGAACTGCTCATCGTCCCTCCTTTATATATACATGCTGCTACATTGGTGTACCTATACACGTACACTCTTATACCTTCATCGTTTTGCATTCGCGACGCGCCTTTTGGTCGCTTTTCGAGGCGAACTCGTTCCACGGCAATTTAGCCTCCTGCTCGTGTACGTACCTCCTCTCGTTTTTTTTTTTTTTTTTTTTTTTTTTTTTTTTTTTTTTTTTTTGCAGTTTTTCTTTTGCACCGCCGAGATCACGCTCGGAGACGCGCTCGCCTTTTTTTCCCCCTCTCTGCCCTTTATTTTTTCTTTGTACTCCTCTCATCTGGAATTCAACCACTATCACACGTTGCCCCATGTATATATAGCCCACGCACGGGATGTACAACGCTATTGTATATACGTATACCCTATGGCTCGTGTACTTCCAAAGGTTTAGATTAGAATCAGAGTAGACATAAGTATACAGGTATATATATATATAAGAATGCCGTCTCGCGGATCATTATATTGTGTTTAACCTGCTGCTGTACCTATACCCCACCGTCTACTTATCGCATGATATGTATATCTACGTCGTATGCACATACGTGGCGTGTATTTTTTTACGTGACTTACATGTATACCTTATATATACCATCTGTACTAGGCTCCAGGAGATATTTTGACTTTCGTTGTCCGATTCAGGGATGGATGTTGTGGAAAAAAAAAGGGAAAACCACCGCGTTATTGTTACTGAGCTCGGCATTCGTTAGCACCGCTTCCTTTTTTCGCTCGATTTCCGAAAAACAAAAAAGATCTTCTTCCCGGGTGGTGGAATTAATTGCGCCTTTTGATATGCAAATCCATTAGACCGCGGAAACAAAGAATATATATAATCATACCGTGTGTGCAACTCCGTTCTTTTTCTCCCCCCACCCCCTCGCGATGCATCCTTTTTTTTTTTTTTTATTATTTCGCTCCTCCGCAGCACTTGTGCCTTTGGTTTCTTTTTCCCTCTCGCCGCATTCGCGTTTCAAATACCCGCCAGGGTCGTTTATCTCTCGTGCCAAAAAAATTCATTCAATTTTTGGGTGCCTAAATTCTTTTTTACGACCTCTTTGCGAACGCCGAGATTAATATTGACGGTTTTTATTGTTCGAAGTAGACGCGGAGGTATAAAATGGTGTTTTTATCCCTCCGCGCGCGTAAACTTTACGCTTCTGATGGCACGGACTCGTATTACTGATTTCGGGTGTATCAAATGTATCGATACTACTTTTTTTTTTTTTTTTTTTTTTTTTTTTTTTTTCGTTGTTACAAGCAACTGCGCAAGTTGAAAAATCGGCTGTTGATGGTTTGTTGACTCGTGCACATTTGGTGCGCTTTGAAAATTTTAACTTTTGTATAAATTGAAAGACATTACAGGTAACATGTACGCGTATAAATATTACGTTACGATCCTAATGTGCCATCATAAATCAGGCGTGTCTTGTGTCGTTACATAAAAACAGAGAGATTTTCTACACTTTATATGTATTTACGAAAGTCCGAAGCATTAACGTAATATTGGGTACATTAAGACGATGGATGCATGTTAACGCACTTTAAGCGTAACATTAAAATTTTTGATAAACATATAAATATATTAGGCTATAAGTATCGAGTTACGCACGAAAGATCGGTATACAGCGTTATTAATTGTCCAACCGTCGTGCAACATTATTTAAAATTGTTTTTACAAATAATCTCTCTCGAGTTGCGCATACACATATATATATATATATATATATACGCGCGCGAACGTGTTAATAGATTTTATCACATCACAGACCGGCATTCCAAAAGTGAAATGTACCTACGTATGAACGTTGATTGTGTATATACGTATGTACGTACAAGGCACAACCTTGTATGTGTACATGTCATATACATACACATGTAAACGTACGTGAACTTTAGTTGTGAAATCGTGGATTTTTTAAGTCCGCGCCTGTCAGTTTAAATCACACGTACCTACTCGTATGCTAATTCGAAACTATTCTCTCCCCGCGTATATAACGTATGCACGCGGTAGTGCTGTGCTTTCAAATTTGTTTTATTGATAACACTTAAATAAATTGCCTATAAAAGTACACGGTACGCGTTATACCAGAAATGACGAAAAAAAAAAGAATCCCCCAACTTTTTTTTTTTTTTCGTAATTATTAACGTTATACTTACAGCTGTTAAAATGACGCGTTTACACTGTCAAACATATTCATTAGCAAAGTGTTCTGAGCTAAAAGTGACTATTATAAAAAAAGAAAAATATCGTTTGAAACAACAAAAGAAAGGGCAAATGATTTTTCCTTAAAGGTAGAAAAAAAAAAAAAACCTTCGTCCGTGATTTTCTTTGGTATATAGAGCTTGAAGCGCGCGAAGCGGAGCCCCGTTAACATGTAGCGGAGGTACGAAAGTTTCGGGTTCCCTTTGAGAAAGAAAAAAATCCATATTCAGCGAAATCCTCAGTCTACCCACGTGTACGATGATAAAGTCGTTTGTCGATGTGATGGGACAAGACCGCGCTTTGTGCCCTCCCTGGCTCTGCTTCTTATATATTATTATTATTATTTTTTTTTCTTTCTTTCTTTCTTCTCGAAAGGCAAACGCTTGTGAGATTAGAATTTTTAATGCGCTCGCATTGCGCGTACCCTCCTGCCTGGAATATTACTTGTAAATAAACCTCTGGCGTTGCGCCTGTTTTGGAAAATTCTTGGAAATTCTTCTGCGCCATCTCGATCTCGATAAGATCTCTTCTCTTTTACGCGTTTTCACGGCCCACGTCTTTCTCACCGGCTGGTATGGTCGTGGTTTTCAATTCCATTGATGCTT